AATGTACACCCTGCGTAAAACAAATGCTAAGTAGGCCATAAATGACAAAGCTGGGGAAAGAATTGGGAAGCATTATCACAGTGAAGCACTGAAATGAGAATTCCTTAGAAATGATTAATATGTCCTGAATTTCAATCAGTAAATTTCCGGAATTGGGAAGCATTAAATTAAGATGGACTTTCAGCAAGCTATTACACAATGACAAAGTACCTGTCACCCCAAATTGATGCAGTTCCACGATAGAAGTTCTAAACAGCATCGAAGGTATCCCAACGATCACTTGATATTCATATTGGAACTGAGTTACATTCATCTGACCATGGTGAATTGAAACCACGTCCATGTTTGCATCACGGAAATCCCGAGTTGCTATAATTTTTGAAAGCATAAACAAACATAGAAAAGAATCAGATAGGGAAAAATCCTCAAGACAAAACAAGATGATACAAGTACAACAAATCAAGATGGTGGACAAATTGGCAAAAATCCTCAAGACACTGATAAACCCAGCAACAAGATTGATTCTTGAAACCAAATGGCAAAGCTACATAAAAAGAACAGAAACCCAATAACCTTCCAAGTTACTGTGATGGGTCGATTTCCATTTTTCAAAGCACCAACTAAAACTATCATAGACTTGAAACAGAAGAAACCCAGTTCTTGAAACGTTAAATAATTGAGACCCAATTCGTGAAACCTTGAAACCAATCAAAATGGGTTAATTAATACTCACCGGCACCGAGGAGCACAATAGAAACCCGGTCATGGGTGCCATTACCATAGATACCAAGATAATCGTCATCTCTGGCTTGACAGAGAATGTGGTACAAATAGTTGAGGTCGATGACAAGACAGAGGCTTTCATCGCAGATGAAGTTGTTGAAGAAGGAAGGCCGCAAACGCAAGGCTGTGACAACGCTCGGGTTATGGGCGATGGGGTTGGGAGTTGAGGCTGCTATAAATGTGAGGTCATCTGGTGAGATGTACATTTTGCCATAGAAGCAAGGCATCTGAATGAAGGGTGCCACAGCCCTCCTTAGAAGACGAACAGCACCTAGGTCTAGGCTCAGTCCAAACATGGTGATGAACACAGAGAGAGAGAGAGAGAGAGAGAGAGTTTCTTGGCGGGAAAGTAACAGAGTTTGGATGGTTGAAGAATGAGTGGAATGGAAGCAGGTGACTCACATTTTTCTGTTTTGGTTTGTGTTATATTTACATTTTCTCTCTTGGCGGGAAAGTAACAGAGTTTGGACGGTTGAAGAACGAGTGGAATGGAAGCAGGTGACTCACATTTTTCTGTTTTGGTTTGTGTTATATTTACATTTTCTCTCTTGGCGGGAAAGTAACAGAGTTTGGACGGTTGAAGAACGAGTGGAATGGAAGCAGGTGACTCACATTTTTCTGTTTTGGTTTGTGTTATATTTACACTTTCTCCCCTGTTGTTTCAAGAAATTCAGATGCATCCCTTAAAGTTCTTTTATTTGCAAAGAAACCCCATTTATTGGTTATAACTTACCGTACCCCTCCACGTGAAATTAAACCATACAAGTGTGATTCAACTTTGTAAAAAAAGATGTGATTGGTAAATAAAGTACATATATAACATTACTCATCAAGATACTTCTTCTAATGATAATGGGAGATTATGACTCCTGGTATAGCACTTTTTTTCCACATTCATAACAAGAGTTCGACTCTTATCACCCCTATCGGAAAGGCCACGCCGCTCGTGTTGGATTTTTTAAATATTAATCGAAGAGAATAGAACGCTTAACCTAACTTAATTCTAACTTATTTCTCTACCCACCCTTTCTCCTTGGAGGCCTTGGTCTTAAGTTTGAACAACGGCAATCATATCAAAACTTAAAAGGTCCAGTCCAACATTGTCGTAATACAAAGACTCGCCCATGGTCCAGTCCCAAAAGCATATTTGTTCCATGGATTCTGAGGATTTTGAGGCCCAACCTAACACAGCCCATCCATCTTCTTTGTCTGCCATCACAACAGATTCTGATCTAAGAAAAGTAAGAAACACAGATCTCTCGTACGATCAGCTATATTTTTCAAACGATCCACCTACAAAATATTTATTTATTTTTAAATTTTTTTAAAATCAATGGTATGTAGTGCTATGGTTCGCAAAATGGGAGGGAAGGAGGAAGCAATAACGAACTAGCATAAGGGCTACCATGTAATGCCGGCTTTGAAGAAGGGCGGGAGGTGTGATCGCCCCGGCCCATTGTCCAGAGAGGCCCAATTATTTTTTAATTTTTTAATTATATATTCATTTAATATTTTATATATTTATTACATATTCATTTAATATTTATAAAAAAACAATTTGAATTTCTTAAGATAATATTGGGACATGTGAAACTCTACTTCTTAAAATTTTGAATTTTTCATTATAGTTGACTGTAGTAGCCTTAGATTTTGTATTTTTTTTTCGATATTTAAGTTTGAATCCTAGTAAGTTAATACGTGTACTTTTGTTTTTTTAAAATTACTATTTACCATACATTTGTTATAAAAAAAATTAAAAAAATACGCTTATTATTAAACTTAAATGTACTGTTCATGAATAATTCGTATATACATATCTTATAAATGGAAAAAAAAATACAAATTTATAAATAAACCCAATCCTAGACTGTATTTATAAAAAAACCCAAGCAATATTTAAACATAAAAACACACTCAAAATCAACCCCAAAGTCAACTTTTTGGGTGTGTTTATAAATGGGTTTTGAGTGTGTGTAATGATGGGTTTTGGGTGTGTTTATATGTTTAAATAGTGCTTGAATTTTTTTATAATTTCAAACCCCATTTTGGGTGTTTTAGTGAAACTCCCAAAAAAAAACGTTGCAGTGAACATAAAATTTAAAGCATGAGTCGTTAGGCTATTATGATGTGTTTACGAATCAGGAATTGAATTCTAACTATGGCAGATTTCTGTATTTACTTCATATTAAGGGAATTATAAAAAGTAAATGGGGTTTACACAAAATTAGGAATTCAATTCTTGGATGGGAGGTGGTATTCTAATTTCTGGAAAACTAACCCCATAATTTCTGGAGAACTAACCCCATTAGGAATTTATATTTTTTTACCCATTATATTCTCACACAATTTTAAAATTTTAAAATTTATCATTTACTTTAACCCAACAACGAGGATATTTTAGTAATTAGCACCAGTCCTACCCCAATTCCATATGCTCAATCCAACTCCTCCTCAATTCAATTCCTCCTAATGTAATTACGAATTGGTAAACATGCCATTATATGTTTTTTTTTTTTTTTTGGGAAAATAAGTTTTACAACTCCTTTCAAAAAGTTGTAAGCCTTCTTCTTTCCTTACCCAAAGAAAAACATTTTTCTCCACAAATCTTATCGTAGGTCGACATTAGTTATTTTCTTAGTACATTAGATTAATGATTACAACTATTATTGTCTTTACCCTAGTTACGTTCTTCAATATTTGTGATTTCAATACAAAATTGGACTAACAAAAGTAATTTATGTATCCGTATATTATATTCATATTTTTCCCTATAAATCGTATTATACACGAATGTACTAAACATATTAATTTGCCGTTTTCGTATTTTATGGCCGAATTTTTCATCGTTCTTTTTATAAAAATGGACTGAATCATACACGTGCATATATTTTTTTTTTTTTTACGTATTTTGCCATTACTGTATATTACTAACTAGGTTTCTGATGCACCATTTTGTCAATAAGACAAGGAAAAAAATGATGAAAAATGGTTGATACTAAATTTTAAAAAACAAATAATAAAAGTGTGATCTCTTATTTAAGTTTGTATGTTAGAAATTCTGATGCTTGACAAGTGGGAAAGTAACAGAGCTCAAGCATTGTTACAAGACTTGGTGAAGAGAGAAGTTTTTCACACGCGGGCGGGCGCCCAATCGCAAGGGGTGTCCTCTTTTTTAATATAAACAGTATCGCCGCGTGACTATACTTTTTTAAAAAATAGCAGCTATACTTATTTTGACACGTGGGAGCCTAATAGCAAAGAGGTCCCTATATATATAAATAGTATAGCCGGCCGGCTATACTCTGTCTTTACTTTTTTTTAAAAATAGTATAGCCGCTCGGCTATACAGACTGTAACACGTTAATCGCAAGGCGGTCCTTTTTTAAACCTATGAATAGTAAAGCCGCCCGGCTATACTATGGTGTTCTGTTTTTTGACACGTGGCACCTAATGGCAGGGCGGATCCCTTTTCTTTAATATAATTAGTATAGCCGCGCGGCTATCACCCCTTTTTTTGGTTTTTTCAAAAAAAAGTATAGCTGCCCGGCTATACCCGATTTTTTTCTTATTTTTTTTTAAATAGTATAGCCGGCCGCTAGACCGTTAAAGTATTCTATTTTGGAGTATCGCCATACGGCTATACCTTTAAAGTGTTCTTCTGTCACTTCGTGTGAATTGTCCCCTTTTTCCCCCCAATTTCCCCAAAAAAAACTTACAGAAAAGCAGGTATTAAGAAATGTTTTCTTCTAGAAGTTATTTAACAAAATCACCACTTTGAAAATTCGGATGCTCCTTATTATAGCGTGCTAACTACAATGAGCTTATAGCTCAAGCACTTAGGAGTACTCGAAATCATATCAAACTTGCAAAGAAGGTATTGGAATCTGTCTTCCCACGAAGAAATTTATACTTTCACCACCAACAACATTTCTCCTAGCATTCTTCAATTATGTTTTGGAACTCGCAAGAAGTTTAATAATAAGTAACAGAAAAAACAGACAGATAAACCAAATTCTAACCATTATGTAAAGCTGCATTGTTTACACTCGCATGGATTATTATGAATAGAATCAGACTTTACCAAGTACAACAGACAACTCAAAGTATCTCACACTCGCATCATCAATGTGATCAAACCGCATTATTAAAAGCTGTTTTGAGTAAGAACTCAGTGATGGTAAGACCATTCTCAGGCTTCAGGCTTCAGGCTTCAGGCTTCAGAATATAGGGCCAAAGTAAAACAACACGTTGCCAAGTTTACCAAAAGGGAAATTCAGCGCGGCATATGGACCCCCGGACTGGCCAAGCAACCACACCATCTTCGACAGAATTGAAGCGCTCAACAGTGCCTTAATATTTTCGATACTGAACAGCAAGATCCCCACAGCACCCTCAATAATACATCTTTCGTCCTGATACACAACAAAATAAAACAAGGAAATTGAACTTCTTGTGATATTATTATGTTGTAGTGTATGACAGCAAATCTAGTCCGTGAAAAAGAAAAATATTATTTCATGGCACAGATGAATGGACGTTTTCTGCTATGAATACTGTATTTTGAGCAAATTGGTTGCGAGACCATAACTATGAATAACATGAAATGTTGGGGAAATACCTTCGGGAGAGTAACCGCCTGTTCACCTACTCCAAGAAAAACAACATTCTCTCTTACTTCTGCATAAGCTGCGATGACACGTACCAGTCGAGTGAGCAACATATACAAGATTATTATGAAGAGTTAAGGAATGCCTTAAAATCTTGTGAACCTTATGAGGGTGCCAGCATGCATACATACAGCATAGACAAAGATTATCACAATCTGAGCTCATTAGAGATTATATGCAAAGTCACAGTAACTGTCAAGCACTGAAATGAGAATTCAAAAGGGCATGCCCTGAATTTCAAACAGTAATTCTGTGTCACACATTGTACCTTGAAATCCAATATGGTGCAGATTGATAAGCATAATCCTAAACGTCTCCGCAGGTATCCCGACGACCACTTGATATTCACGAACGAGCCGAGGTATAGCTATCCGACCATAATTGCTTGAAATCACTGCAATTTCAGTGGCCCTGATTTGCTTAGTTCCTAGCATTATTGAAATTGTAAACAAAAATAGACGAGAAAAATTAGATAACGAGAGAATATTAGAACGCAAAAACGTAGGTAATTCATCAATTTTTTTTAGAGATTTACGACAAAACAATATTAGGAAACACACACCAATGATGCAGACAGATTGGCCAAATTTACAACAATACTAGGAAATACTAATCCTCAAGAAACTTGAAAAAGAAGAATATTGGTAAAGTACCGTGATAGGTTGATTTCCAAATTTCCACATTTCCAAGACAAAATTCCAAGAAACAGAGCCCAAAAATGCAGATACTTCACCAATAACAAACGATGCAGATAATTCCCCAGATAATTCCTCAAGAAACTCATTAACCCAGCACAGATTAATTTTTTAAACCAAATGAAAAACCATAAACTTGAAAATGGACAGAGTCCCAGTAAGAGAACAAATTCCCAAATTTCCAAATTTCTAAATTTCCAATAACCAACTAGAAAGAGAACAAATTCCCAAGAGACGTTTACAATTAAAATCTTGAAATAAAAATTCAGATAATGCGAACCCAGAAATAAGATTAATGACCAAGTTAAAATGAACATAAACTTGAAAAAGAACAGAGCCAAATGACAAACGATGCAGATAATTCATCATATCTATTGCTGTGGCTATTAGAAAGCAAAAGGGCAGATAGTTCATCAAATTTAAACAGATTTTAATCAAAACCCATAAATATTGAAAAAGAAGAATTTTCCAAGGAACAATTAAGACCCAAATCTTGAAATCTTGAAATAAAAAATGAAAGAAATTAAGTACTTACTGACATCGACGAGCTCAAAGTCTATGTGACCAAGGGTGAGATGACCAGAGAGACTGAGAAAATCATAAGCGGTGGCCTTAAGGAGTTGGTCGTGCATATTACGGATGTCCACTTTAAGATAGAGGATCCCTCGGCAGAAAAATGAGTAGAAGTTCAAAGGTTCCATCGGCAGGGTGAAGGAAATGCTTGGGATTCCGGTACTGGGATCTGTTACGGTTATTCCAAATGTGACGCCGGTTGGTGAGATGCAGAGGTCACCATAGCGCGCGCCCTTCTGAGCCTGCATGACGGTTGACACCGCCTGCCTTAGAAGAAAACCAGTTGGGTCCAGGCTAAAGTGATACATGGTGATGAACAGAGTGAAAGAGAGGGAGAGGGAGGGGGAGAGAGAGAGAGAGAGAGTTTGGGTTTCTTTCTGAGTAGCAGAGAGAGAGAGAGAGAGCTAAGGAAATTGAGATTGTGTGACTAAGACTTGGTGAAGAAACAGAGGTTTTTAACTACTTTCTTGGCGGGAAAGTTCTTCTTGGACGGTCTGTTCTGTTTGGGGTTTATAATTTTACACTTCCTCCCTTGTGGTTTTGAAGAATTTCAGATTGTTGCAATTCAAGTTCTTTTATTTGTATTCATACCCCCCTAATTCACGCATTGGGCTGAGATTTCCAACAGTTGTCAAAATCAGATACTTATTATATTTACAATTTCTACCCTGTTATTTCAAGAATCTTATATGCTTCCCTCAAAGTTCTTTTAGTTGCAACGGAAGCCCCATTTATTGATTATACCTCTGGATCCATGGGATAATTAGATATAAACCCAATTCCAGTAGCAATTATTACGCCACTGACTATTATGTCAGATGTATTAATATGAGTAAATATTTTACTTTTTCATTCCCAATCTGCCCCTAAGTATATATATACAAGCAATAATTTAAATTTGAGGGGAGAAGAATTTCTCTCACACACACACACAACTATGTGGTTATGGGGGTTCGAATCCGAAATCTCTGGTATGCAAGTCAAGGCCTTTTTCACTAGGCCAGACGTCGTTGCAGTTTGCCTCAAAGTATATAAATGGTTAGAAACATGATTTTAAGTCAATACTTATGATATCTAATGCTATTGGTTATTATGATTTGAATTTCTTTTCCTAAACGGCAACCTCAAATATAGAATAGTGTGAATTTCCAATCTGCACCTACAAAATACATATTTATTTAAAAAAATTAAATAAAATTTGAAAAATAGAATGTGATTCAGAAAATTACAGAATATAAATGTCTGATTTATTTGAAGCTGAAAACAGAAGATTCATCATCACAACATCCATAGGGAAAAAAGAAGTGTGTGTTAGGGATAATTCAAGGTTTTTGTAGATATTTATGCTTGAAGTCGTTGATCAGTCCATTAAATTCAATCTTTATAGTTGGCCCATTTTTTATAGTCATTCTTAGAGTAAACTTCTTTTGGGATGAGCTCAAAAATTGTGACAGTTAAATTCGTTACAATTTCCATTTTCTGTTGTCTCAAGAATTTCATATTCTTGCCATTGAAGTTTTTTTATTTATTGCAGCAATACCCTCACTTACCCTGACATTTTCTCGCACGGGCTCGAGGTCATGTTCAATTTCTCCCTCTCGCAATTGATAAGGCTCAAGAAACTTGCAAAGAAGTTCTTAAGTCACAATTTCTCCCTCTCGCAATTCAACAATTAGACTCTTGCCACATCTAGCAACAATCATCCTCACAAAGTCACAATCCTTCACCACCACCAACTTTTCTCCTAGCATTATGTTTTGGAACTTGCAAGAAAAAGCAGACAAAAAATTCAACTTCCAAACCAAATTCTAACCATTATGTAAAGCTGCATTGTTTACAAAGGATTATGATGAATAGGATCAGACTTTACCAAGTACAACAGACAAATCAAAGTATCTCACAACTCACATCATCTTTTGTTTGCTCATTTACACTTGTGATCAAATCACATTATTTTGAAAATGGAGAAAAAGAATTTGCATCATTAAAATCTCATTTGAGTAAGAACTCAGAGATGGTAAGACCATTCTCTTCATCTTTTGTGATCAAACCGCATCTTCTGAGCCCGCATTATCTTCACCAAAGTAAAACGTGAGGCTTCCAAGTTTACCAAAAGGGAAATTCAGCATGCAAGATGGACCATTGCACTGGCCATACAACCACACCATGTTTGACAGAATTGAAGTATTCAGCAGTGCGTTAGCCTTCTCGGTGCTGAACTTCAAGAAAAATCGACCCGCCAAAGGAATCCAAATAACACAATCCTCCTGATACACAACAAAATAAACAAGGAAACTTTGATCATTTATGTGATTAGGAAATTGAACTTCTTGTGAAGTGTATGACAGCAAATCTAGTCAGTGAAAAAGAAAAATACCTTCCTGAGAACAATCGCCTTATCTTGTCCATGAAGTACAACTTGCCTACCTATTACGCTTACAGTAACTGCAATGACACGTACCATACCAGTCTAGTGAGCAACATATACAAGATTATATATATGAAGAGTTGGGGAATGCCATAAAATCTTGTGAACCTTGTGAATGTATATCAGCATCCATACATACATCACAAACAAAGATTATCACAATCTGAACTCATTAGAGATTATATGAAAAGTCACAGTAAATGACAAAGGATTGTGAAGCATGACACTGCTGTTAATGAGAAATTCTAAGAAAATTATCAACATGTTCAAACAGTAATTTTTGTTACACATTGTACCTGTCATCCCAAATCGTTCTCGCGAACTGAGGATAAGAACCCTAAACAGCTCCGCAGCTATCCCAATGATCACTGGACGTTCTTTTTGGAGCTGAGGTAAAGTTATCTGACCAGGCCTCCTTGAAAGCAATGGAATTTCAGCAACCTTCATTTCCAGAGTTGCTAGCATTATTGAAAATATAAACAAAAAGAGACAAGAAAAATTAGATAAGGAGAGAATAATAGAACACAAACCAATGATGCAGACAGATTGACAACAATCCTCAGGAAACTGATAAACCAAATGACAAATTTAAAGTTAAAACTTGAAAAAGAACATATCTCCAAACCAAATGACAAAAGCTAAAACGACCATAAACTTGATAAAGAACAAACCAAATGACAAATGCAGATACTTCACCAAATTAAAACACATTTTACAACTCCTCAAGAAATACAAAGGAAATACAAATCCTCAAGAAACTGAATAATTTTTTAAACCAAATGAAAACCCGTAAACTTGAAAACGAACAGAGTTCCAGGTTTGTGTCAGAATATTGGTAAAGTACTGTGATGGGTCGATTTCCAAATTTCTACATTTCCAATAACCAACTAGAAAGACTCAAATCTTAGAATCTTGAAATTTAAAAAAAAATTCAGATAATGCGTATTGACAAAAATCCTCAAGAAACTGAAAAACCCAAAAACGAGATTAATTGTTGGAACCAAATGACAAACGATGCAGATAATTTCATCAAATCTATTGTTGTGGCTGTTAGAACGCAAAAAGGCAGATAGTTCATCAAATTTATACAGATTTCAAACAAAACCCATAAACTTGAAAAAGAAGAGAGCGCCAAAAACCTTCGAAGTTTATGCCAGAATATTGGTAAAGTAGTGTGATGGGTCGATTTCCAAATTTCCAAGAACCGACTAGAAATATTGAAAAAGTAGTGTGATGGAACAATTAAGACCCAAATCTTGAAATCTTGAAATAAATAAAAAAAATTGAAAGAAACTAAGAATATGGGTATGTACTTACAGACACTGAGGAGCTCAAAGTCAATGTTATCGCGGCTGATATCACCAGAGAGACTGAGAAAATCACCACCCTTGGCATCAAAGAGTTCCCTGAACAGCATGTAGTAGTCCAAGCCAAGGCGGACGTTCTCATTGCAGCTAAAAGTGTAGAAGTTGGAAGGTGTCAACTGCAGGGCTAAGACGACGTTTGGGATTTCAGGCGTGCGTCCTTCCTCAGGGTCACCTACGGCTCCTACCAATGTGACGTCGTTTGCTGTGACGCAGAGCTCGACATAGTGGTCGGGGCCCAGCAGCATGAAGCATGAAAGCGCGTGCCTTAGATAGGAAGCACATGGGTCAAGGGTAAACTGAAACATGGTGATGAACACAGAGAGAGTTTCTGTTTCTTGAGGGAAAAGTAACACAGAGAGAGAGGGAGAGGAAGAGAGCTAAGGAAATTGAGATTCTTTTGGGATGAGAGCTCAAGGCATTGTGACTAGGCTTGGTGAAGAGGAAGAGGCTTTTAACTAATTTCTTGGCGGAAAGTTTTTCTTGGGCGGTTAAATCCGTTACAAGTTAGCTGACTGGTTTGGTATTTCATTTTCTCTTCTGTAATCTGTTTGGGGTTTATGATTTTACACTTCCTTCCCAGTGGCTTTGAAGAATTTCAGATTATTGCTCTTAAATTATTTTATTTGTATTTCATACCTACCTCACTCATGCACTGATCTGAGATTTCGAGCGGTTGTTGAAATCAGATCAATCACAAATCCTTGGATGCTCCTTATCTTTATATTTACACTTTCTACCCTTATATTTCAAGAATTTTAGATGCTTCCCCTTAAAGTTCTTTTAGTTGCAATGTGAGATTTGGTCAATCTTGGTCAAGCTCGCTGTACCTTTTCACTACAAACCCTTGCTACTTGATCTTAAAGATGAGCAGAGACTAACCCATGGTCCCCAAAGATTATTTGATCCATGGACCTTAAGGCCCAACCATGGTCCCTCCTTTATCACTTTTCGCAGAATGTGTGTTTTCGGTCGGAACTTTTCGCAGAACGTGTTTTTATTGGTCTGAACTTTTCACGGAATTTTGTTGGCTGTGTAACTTGCATAGTTAAAAAGGGCAAGTATTTTAGCGAACCCTAAACATTCACAGTTATGTACTCTTCCAGTCCTACCCTTTTAGCAGAGAACTGAAACTCCACTGATACCATCCATCCATCCATGGCTTCTCACATTACTACTAGTCAATCACCCGGCCACATATAACAATGGCTCCAATGCAAAATCATGAACTTTCAATAAGGCAAATCAAAGATATAGAAGGAGCGAGCAGAGGGGGGTGACAATTCAACCAAAGTCGGATAATACATTAACTATTTGAGAGCATGGAACAAGCTGGTCAAGGCTAAAAAGGAAAAACATAAACAAAAAAAAGAAAGCAGAGTTTTATTTCCCCTGCTTGCACAAGCTATCCTTCAGAAGTTCAACGGCAGCTAAACCCGAAAAACAGCAAGTATTACAAACCAGTTTGTTAATAAAAACAAAGGCAGTTCTGCACTGGACCCAGCATCTATCTGGTACCTATAGGCCAACCTAAGAACTCCCCCAAGGTCCAGTTAAAAGTTTCAGGACTACGAAAACAGAAGCATTTCAAGGGACGATGCATCAGAAAGTATTTCCTCCCATCAGAGCTATAGCTTCTTGTATGGAGAAGGGTCCATCATCCCTAAAAGCAGAAAGGAAAACACACATTATCCATTGCATAAATCCACCCAAAACTTTAAACAGTCAATTCAGACAGATATATTACTTGGTAACTCGGAACTCCAAACTGTTTTAAAGCATATTATTCAAATTTAGTAGAACCTTTTGAATCTTAATAAATTCATATTTCATGCTTCCCCTTTTTTGAAAAAATACATGGCAGCTTGAGTAGAGCATAAATTGATCAAGTTCCATTAAGAATTCCCAATTGATACTCTGAGAAGTTGATAGACGGGAATGTCAACATGAACTAGGTCCACGATTCGCCCCCACCCACTTCCCCTATTTTCCACACAACATATAACAATACATTGCATATACCATAGGAGAGTATGAAAATGCACGTGCTAACATGAAAAAAACAGAATTAGAGATAGAAGACAGGCATGCTTAAATGCACTGTTAAAAAACTAGCTCTTAAGCACCATGTACCCAAACCTTACCATCATTGATGACACAGCAAAGTTTCAACCACCAATCACCGGCAATAAATTGCCTGATCGATATGGGGAGGAATTTGCTTGATCTCAGTTCCAAGTTCTTGCTCAATTCTATACCTGCAGGAGCAGAATATATTATAAATAACGAGCCCCCATTATATTGCAGAAAATTGGATTTGGAAGAGAACAGTACATACAAGTTGAAGCGGTCTTCATAGGTGATCAAATTCACAGCTAAACCAAGGTGTCCAAACCTTCCAGATCGACCAACCTGCATGTAAGATAAATACATAAAACAGCGCAGAGATAACTTCAACATGTAAATACTGCATCAGCTTTCTACTATTTATTTCTGCAAAGACTGTTTCTTACGCACCCTGTGAAGATATGTCTCTGAGTTCTTTGGAAAATCAAAGTTAATGACAACATTGACTGCTTGAATATCTATTCCTCTTGTAAATAGATCTGCAGTTATGCCCCCAAAAAAGAGGAAAAAGTTAGAGAAAATCTCAAGAATCTATTTTTTTTCATTACACACATCAGGAATCTGTCCATACTACGTACAACTTAAAATGAAATCTGTCCATACTACATACAACTTAAAATGAAATGAACTACTCAGAAACACACAATTGAACTGAGCATGACATATTAAGATCAAGCAAACCACATACAACACGAGTAATAAAAGAGTTTATCACATGCACTATTTTTTTCCTCCACCATTATAGCAAAGAGTTCAAACTTCAAAACCAACATGAGCTCATGATCTAAGAGAAGTAATTGCACTGTCATCATATAACCAAAATAATTAGCCATATGCTAAGAAACGCAGAATTCTAGTAAGACCAGATATATGTTTTAAAGTATCCACCTAAAAAAATATACATTTATTTAAAAACTTAAAATAAAAATTTGAAATCACTGGAATGTACAGGTGATGGTGCTGAAAGAAACTTATGGTTCACAAAATGGGAGGGAAGGAGGGAGATAGAGAAAGAAAGAGAACAAATCACCAAAAAAAAAACGTACCAGTACAAACAAGATTTCTGCATGCACCATTACGGAAGTCATGAAATACTCTGTTACGATGGTCTTGCAGCATCTTTGCATGGATATAAAAACAAGAATAGCCAAGTTCTGTAATTTTCTTGGCCAACAACTCTACCCGATTCACAGAATTACAGAATATGATTGACTGATTTATTTGAAGCTGAAAAACAGATCCATCATCACATCCATGAACACCGCAAGAAGTCAAAAAAATAATAATAAATCAATACACAAAAACTACAGTTCACATCAAACCTTAGAGAAAAGAGTGTTTAGGCAGTGGACTTTCTGTCTCTCCTCGACAAAGGCGTAAAATTGTGTAATACCCTTTAGAGTAAGCTCATCCATAAGGTTGATAACATAAGGTTTTTGCAGATATCTATCCTTGAAGTCCTTGACAGTAACAGGAAATGTAGCTGAAAACATCAAAATTTGTCGATGTGAAGGTAAGAAGCGGATCAGCTGCTCTACTGAAGGTTGAAACTCCGGGGACAAAAGCTTATCGGCCTGTCAGACATTGACAAAAACATCATTAGATCGTTGCAGCTCATGATGCTAAAACCAACCAACTGTTTTCACCTCCTCCACTGCATACACAGATACACATGTGACGTGCACACAGACTTGAATGAAGATGGGGGAATCTGATCTTGTTATCTCCCTTTTACAGGAGACATGGAAATACCGATTGGGATATGACCTGGCCACCACACTTTAAGACACTTCTAATAAGGCAATTTTAACTAGTAAACCAAAAATTCGAGGATATAGATACCAGCTAACATAAGAATGAAACAGGTTGCAAATGCGGATCAGGGCTTGATTAATTGGAAATTCAACTTACTATTTAACCAACTAATTGCAAGAACATCT